AAAAAAAAAAAAAAAAAAAAAGGTCTTGGTTGATCACAAATTTTTCCACCACCTACCATTGAATGTCTCTTTCATACTTCATAGTGATGAGAAAAGATCAGCACTAAACTTAAAGTGGCATTATCGGTATGTAGACTATATGGTATACAAGTTAGACTTTGTAAATTGATTATCATCATTCAAACTCACTTTGATGTTTTTTTATATGTATAGCTAATTAAATAGGTCAGATGGTTCACATTAACTTCTTATGATACTCATCGAGCTGTTACAAGTCTTCTTCGTACCAATGGACCTCGAAAATGTCAATATTATACTTACTTAAAGTGCTCCCAAACGAGTACATTTAATTAAACTTTTTTGGTAGCAAAAACATAATTATCCATAAAATATTAGGGAAGTGCTACGGTCCCGTTACGGAACTAATATGTCAGAGTTTGTATTCGTTAGATCAATTATGCCCGACGGTTACATGATGATCTAACGATTACAAACTCCGACGTAATGCTTCGTAACGAGACCGTAGCATTTCCCAAAATATTATTATAACTCGTGCAAGTGACAAAACACGATAATTATTGTGCTATTAGTCGCAATATAAACTATAAACATAGTTGGCAATATCCCGTAAATCAAACAACCGCTATAATTACTTAAATTATTTCACACTCACATTCCCACCATGGCCACATCATTCGTGCCGCTATCCGTTTTCCTATATTTGTACCACTTGGCGCATATCAAAAAGTAGGCCAAATTCACAACCTCCAAAGCCCCAATCAAGTAGTAAAAATAATCCAATCTCCCCTCATTAAGATCCTCGGCGAGCCAGTCAGCCCTGTCGCGTACTTGAGTCGTCTGGTGAACCACCGAAATTAGAAAACTACTCAGATAATTAGAAATCGCGAACCCGCTTATCAAAATAGACGGGCCCAAGCTCCTCATATTCTCCGGAAACTGCTTGTAGAAAAACTCGACGAACCCAATTACAGAGAACCCCTCGGACAACCCTGCAAGCACCAGTTGAGGAATCAACCAGTTTCCCGACATGGATGAAATCGCCCTGTTGTTCGAAGCAAATCCCAAAGTATGCCTCGTAAAAGCCAACGTCCTCCTACGGTTCTCCACGAATCCCGACACAATCATAGTCAGTGCCCCGAACGCCATCCCGGCCCCAACGCGTTGCAGGATCGTGATTCCGCTATCGATACCGGTGATTTTGCGGAGGAATGGAACGAGAATCCGGTCGTAGATTGGAATCCATACCGTTAGTGTGATCATGGTGTAAATTTGGTAGGTCGCGGCTGGAATGACGAAACTACCCCTCCCGAGCCTCCTGTCCATTTGTAGGGCTTGGAATACGACGTAGTTCTGCGTCACGACCCAAAAGATGTAGTATATAACCCCAGATATCCATATCGGCATCACTCGCAATACGCATTTCAACTCCTCGACTTGTTGCAAAGTCCGGAGTTTCCAAGGATCTGCAGCCGAGCCATCCGAGTTCACATTGTCATCCGATGTTCGAATTGCTGCCTTATTTAGAAACCTAAAGTAAGATATTCATCACGAATGTCACTCGAAAATCAAAAATCGCGATAGATTAATAAATAAATAGATAAATAAACAAATAAAAATTCAACTAACCCAAGTTGGCTCGTGTAAGCAAGTTTCGAGTTGATCGAGTCTTTCGGGACGTGATTAAACAACGAGTCCCACGGTTGGTCGGGCAACTCCAACTTCCGTTTCTTGAACGCGGCCACCGCCGTTTGGACCAAGCCCAACAACGGGCTTCCCTCGGGCCGGACTACGACGTAAATTCTCGTCCCGATGAAGAAAAAAATGCAGGACAGCAGCATGAGAGAAGTCGGGATGCCGAGCCCGAGGGCCCAATTCACATTGGACTGCACGTACACGATGAGGGTCAACGAGATGACCATGGCCGACGTGTACGTGAAGTAGAACCAGTTGAAGAAGCTGTTAATGCCTCTTTTGCCCGCGTCCGTGTTCGGATTGAATTGGTCCACGCCGAAGGCCAGGTTGCAGGGCCTGATACCGCTGGCACCGATCACTAGAAGCCCGAAAGCGGTGTATAGGAAGGTGAGCTGGCCCGGTGAGGGCCCGTGACAAGGGGTGTGTTGTTGGGGCCCACATGTTGGGGGGTGTAGTTGGGAAAATGCTGCGGATAGAGTTAAGGCCAGCATACCCTGCATTAAATTCAAGAATGGGAGATTTTCAGGCAATCAATGAACTCCCAAAATGGCAAACATTCACTTGTTTATTTATCTTAATCTTCACCCTTTCCTGATATTAAATGTATTGATAATTGAAAACATAGAAATACCTAAATAATTGATGCATATTCAATATATTGAAATATTTAATTTTATATATGTTAAAAATATATTTTAATATATTAAATTTTGATAAAGATAGGCTATTCATCAGTTCTGACCTATGAAAAATCGTTTCGGTTCACCAATAACCAGTTTTTGAAAAAAAAAAAAAAATTAGAGAAAAGGAATCCAAATACATACATTTGTGGACCCAAGTAATAACCCGCTCAAAATTTCAAAGCAGGACCAATTATTTGTGCAAGTTGTGAAATATATACGACAATGAGGGGGCAATTAAATAATTTATAGAAGTTAGAAAATAATTGGCAGTTGGCACTCGTTTTTTTTTTGTCCTTGTAATTGTCTAATTTGATGCAAACATCAAGGTAAATTAAATTATAGCCACAGAAATGAAAATTTGTACTGCGAAAAAAATAAAAAATAAATAAATAAATAAATTCATTGTTCGGTCAATTTAAATGTGAATTAATTACCAGGAAAGACGAGACGGAAGCTATGCCGATGGTCGTGTACCGGCCGAGATACGTGTCGGACATGTAAGCACCGAACAAAGTTCCGACCATGCAAGTCCCGTTAAAGATGTTAAGCACGTTTGCGGCCGTTATGGACTTCATGTTGAACACCGTCGTTAGGTACACTAACAGATTAGACGCTGTCCCGATTGTCCCGAGCTTCTCGAATATCTCGTTTCCTATATACATCGATCGATCGTTCGAAAAAAAGGATACCAAAAACAAATATGAACCTTAATTTCGATCTAGTAACTAAAAATCACCTACTTTTTTTACGGTGAGTTGGCATGGTTAATGATATGAAGTTTTTACTTACCTATGATGAAAGGCAAGGCTTTCACCCCGCGGTAATTTGGCTCTTTCTTGGCACCGTTAATCTGATTTTGCTCCATAGTTGCAGCAAATAGTTTTCTACACGCTGTGTTGTTGTTTTTTTTTTTCTATATTTGTTGTTGTTGTAAGCTATTTGCCTAAACAATAAGGTTAAAAGAGCACATATATAATGAATTGAGGTTCCTTTCAAAATCACCCACTTGACCTGTCCACGTGAGATGTGCCCATAAATGTGCTCCTCTTTACTCTCTCTAAGATTTTTTTTTTTCTAATAGTGGTGTTTATACCTATAACTACTATATGAAATGAGCTGCTCGTGAGCATAATTCTGTTTCGTTCTTTTGATTAACAAGCCGAGCTCAAGGTTAATAATGAAGACTCCCTTTATTTTGGCTTGGATCGTTGGCACTGAAAATATGAATTTAATTTGGAGTAATTTTCTAAACATTTGACACAATTCAGTTCGTTAAGTGATCAAGTCGTTAACTTAACAACTTCAATTTTTAAGATAGTGTTTGGTTTGAGGGGAAAGGAGGCGAGAGGAAGGAAGGGGAGGGGCTTTTTTATATTTCCCTTGTTTAGTTGAGAAATTAAGGTAGGAGGGGAGGGAAAATTTTAAGTTAGAATTCTCTCCCCTCCTCATTTTTGTTCTCCTCCAAAAATGGGGGAATTTGGAGGGGAGGAAAAATTGTAAGTAATACATTTACTATTTAGCCCTTATTGTATATAATATTTTAATTTTATTTCTAACATCATTAAGGATATATTTGTCATTTTATATTATTTTTCTTCTCCTCTCATTTCCTTACCAAACAAGGTTTACCATTTTTTCCTCCACTCTCCTACTCTCCCCTCACCTCCCTTCCATTAAAATCTCTCACCTCAATTTTCCTTACTTGAACCAGACATACCCAAAGAGTTCGATTCTAGATTCGAGTTTAAGAGCTTGAGTTCGACTCATTTACAATTGTAGATTGTACTATATATTATTTTATATATTTATTCATGTAGAATGAAGACATATGTCAGCATATGAAAATAAATGTCTTCCCATAATGATGAAGATGATCTCACCCCTATTGCTTTTTTTGTGCTCCACTAAAAAAATCCAAATCAATTTAATTGATGGTGCCAAAATATTCAAAAGGCAAACATATGAATTTTAACAATATTGTCAACTTGTGGGGATAATTCACCAAATAAAAACAATATTAGATTGGTCTTAGCTAGGAGTCGCGTGGCGCAACTCCCAAGGCCCACCGGCCCACCCTATGCTCGTTAGCATGTAATAATATAACATATATATATATATATATTTTATCCCTGGTAAGGGTATTTAAATTGATTTTATCTTGTAAAAATATCCAATATATACAAATTAAATAGATTTCGAGTCTTTGTGGATGCAAAAACCTTTGTTTGGAGATTCACCCACCACTATCAAATGTACGATTCGAATCGACCAACGGATTAATTAAGGCATAGCTCCGGAACGGCAGCTGGCTACCAAAAAAAAAAATTAATATTTAGTACGGCAATCTCAAAGAATCAAACATAATATGCTTTTTTTTTTTTATTTAACCAAACATATAGAATATGCTAACTTGTCAAATGTATAACAAATTATACACCACGGGATGTTTGGTTTTTATACCTGACAAGAGTATTTAAATTGATTTGATCTTGTGAAAATATCTAACAGACAAATCAAATAGATTGATAGGCAATATTTATATCTTGGCCTACTGAAGAAAAATTGCATCACTTGCACAAGTCAAACATAACATGTTAACTTGTCAAAATACAAATTATACACCATGGGAAGTTTGGTTGTCAAATATATAACAAATTATATAGACTAGTTTGGTTGCAATAATGGATTAGACTTAATTAATTTTTGTTGGACTTAATCACTACTTTGTGCATTTAATACAATACTCATTAATATGATTGTTTCAAGGTTTATAATTTTCCCTATATATATTGAACTAAATTTTAGCGTTTTCCCTTTAAGTTTTTCACGAACGATATATAAATCTCCACACACATAGACTACGATGTCGGTGTAGCGTTTGAGGACACCGAGCTCTCAAAGAAGACCACAATCTTCTGTCCTCACCTATGGGCGATCTTTAAAATAATCGTTAGAGCGGCTGTCCATCCGCCTCAATGCCATGTGCCGCCGCCGCCGCAACATTGACAAGGAAAAACTCCACCACGTGGAGAAACACGTTCACCATGTCATCTCGAGGGATATCATCCATGTCACAGAAGAAGAAGAAGAACTGGGTATATTTTGGGAACTCGAATTTTTCGAGTCGTTGGATAGGGTATCCACCACCAGGGTCGGATAACATATAAAAATTGAATTATAATTGATCAAGCCATGCTCATTTCTCAGGGCCAAAATCAGTCTAACCAAACACAGTAAACAAATTGATTAATAACAAATACGGTGATATCAAGCTCAATTAACCCAACCAAATTACCACAATTATCACGAAGGACATAACAAGGCGTTCATTGTCATATCACGATGTGAAATAGTGTTTTTAACGAGCACGATCATGAAAACCTACGTCGGTCGTCTCACAAAGAAAGATTGTTTGAAATTGGATTTAAGCAATGATTGATTGACAAAAATGTAAAGCAAATTAAAGTCCTAAACACACTAATCGCAAGTTGGTTGTTTGCTTAAAGTTCAAGTGAATGGAATTGGAAACATATCAATTCGGGCAAGCTAAATCAAAGGCAAGTAATCCTCAATTTACAATACAAAGGAAAATAAAAGAAAAGGACTAAGCATACCAAAACTCAAGATGAAAGGTGATACCATAAAGGTTCGGGAACATTTTGACGGTGAACTTGTTGACGGTGAACCGTCAAGTATGATCAAGTAATCGTTACTCGTGATGAACCGCCAAAACACAAGATGATCAAGCAATCGTTACTCACGATGAACTTGTTGACGGTGAACGGCCAAGGATCACTGAAAGTATATAGTAAGGAGGTAATTTTCAGACTTGCCCCCACGACCCCGACTATTAAGGAAGCCTTTGTTACTTTAGATTGAAGAGTTCTACACGCTCGACATTCTTGTCGAGGATGAGCTAATCGGTCTACATTCTTGTCGAAGGTGTGGTAATACTAGGGTATGTCCAAAAGTATATATAAAAGCTTTTTGTGTGAAGAAGAGACAAAAAACAAATATTTGAATATTTCGAAAGAGATTTTGATGGAGTGAAGATAATCTGAGATGGAGGGGTGGGCTGAGCTACCCATTTATCCACCCCATGATAAAACAGAAAGGGTCAGTTTGTGCTGTCCTTTATCTGAAAAGGAGATATAAAAAATATTAGAAGCTATGTAAAAACCTCATCGGGACATGACTTTATATAGGGGCGAGGTCCAAATATAACCCTTGATGGTTGTCTTCCTTCTAACGTTATTCTTTAATGGTGGACTACCAACGGTTACAGAAAGTCTGTTTTAAGGCAGTTTAATCGAGGATTACTAAATTTTTATGCTAAATTTTAATGGTGATGAACATAGACAGGTCGAGCCAAAATAAAGATATGTAAAAAGTGAGAGAAACCGATATTGTCGATCGGTTGTGGCGATGGACAAGGAGATTGTTTCTGAGGAATTTTTATTAAGTGTAGTGAGAGTACAACCGAATATGGTGAGTGTATGGTCTTTGAGAGATCATTCATAAAGGAAAACAATGTATAGTGTGGTAATCTGAGAGAGAGAGAGAGAGAGAAGATCTATGATGATGTTGATCATCGATGAGTGATGGCTGATGATGGACCCGGGATCGTTATTTATACACCAAAAAAAAAGGTGATAGTGCATTAAATGGTAGGTGCCAACTAGGGGCGTAGAGCGACGTCACGTGTATCCATGCAGAGTTTGATGGTACAGGTTGAGCAATTGACTGGCTTCCTCGAGTTGACTCCGCAGGTGCGGGCTATGCTCAATAGGGTCCAGATCCATCGGGGAGACCGACCAGGAGCTTTCTGGCCTGAGTTCTCCGACGAGTTTTCGGTGATTTTCCTACGACGTTATACATATTTCTGAAAAGTATTTTCCTACAAAATAAATATAAAGGAGACATTGAAATACACAAAATACAAAAACAACACGAAAATACGTAACTAATAAAAAAAATAAGTGGATCGAGAAAAAACCTATAATAAACTAAAAAGAGCACAAATTAACCATCCAAAAACACATAAATTAACCACAAAACATGACCCTCGCGAATATATTAATTTGTGCTGTTAGAATATATTTTATATATGGATAGCATATATTAGTATGTTAGAATATATTGTATATATGGTTATAATATATTTTGTCTATATCTTGTAGGATTAGATTTAGGCTCATTATGTTCCTATATATATGTGTACATGTCTTTTGAATAATACACAACATATTTTTCCCAAATTCTCACATGGTATCAGAGCCCACTTTGTGCCTGGGTTAGAGACATGATATCAGAGCCCGACCAACTTTGTGTCTGGGTTAGAGACATGGTATCAGAGCCCACTTTGTGCCTGGGTTAGAGACATGATATCAGACTCACAAGTGAGGGGGCGTGTTAGAATATCACTTGTGAGTTATCCCACATTGTTAATACATGGAAAATAGACCTACTTAATAAGTTTAATGGGCTACTCCTCCTTTCACCAATTGGTTTTGGGATGGAACCTCATTTGGGCTTCATATGGGCTTTCCATGTTCCCCCAGTTACTTTCATGGTATCAGAGCCCACTTTGTGCCTGGGTTTATCAGAGCCCACTTTGTGCCCACTTTGTGCCTGGGTTTATCAGAGCCCACTTTGTGCCTGGGTTGGGAGACATGATATCAGGGCTCACAAGTGAGGGGGCGTGTTAGAATATCACTTGTGAGTTGTCCCACATCGTTCACACATAGAAAATAGACCCACCTTATAAGTCTAATGGGCTACTCCTCCTTTAACCAATTGGTTTTGGGATGGAACCCCACTTGGGCTTCATATGGGCTTTCCTTTTCCCACTAGGTTTAGGATCCATTATAGATTTTTCTTTTGTCGCACATCTCTGGCCAGCACCGGTTCTCACCTCCCGCGCCATCATCTCCGACGTGACCCGGCGAGTCATCGCCTGAAAGCCCGTCCCCGTCGCCGGCGCGTGCGCTTCTCACGCGCCTAGTCTTCGTCGTGACGCTGAGCCCTTTGGTCGGCGCGTGTGGTCCACCCTAATCTCCGACTGCTACCGCCTTTCAGCCGCCGACTCTTGTCGACGTCAGCTACCTTGTGGTGTGCTCGGATTTGCCGTTTGCCGCCGCCTTTCAGCCGCCGACTCTTGTCGACGTCGGCTACCTTGTGGTGTGCTCGGATTTGCCGTTTGCCGCCGCCTTTCAGCCGCCGACTCTTGTCGACGTCGGCTACCTTGTGGTGTGCTCGGATTTGCTGTTTGCCGCCGCCTTTCAGCCGCCGACTCTTGTCGACGTCGGCTTCCTTGTGGTGTGCTCGGATTTGGTGATTCACTTGTCTCTTGGCGCAGTCAGAAGCAAACCTCAGTTTCCCGCTCGAGTGCCGAGTCTGAGTATCGTGCTCTTGCTGACTCCACCGCAGAGCTATTATGGTTGCGTCTCCTACGAGTCCGCCGTGGAGGCGGCGGAGGAGGGCATGGGCTGGCTGCTCATGGTGGCGCCGCTCAGATCAGATAGCTGGTGTCTTCACAAAGTCTCTCCTTCCGGGTCGCTTTTGCTTACTTCTTTGCAAACTCAAGTTGCTATCTACTATACCACCTTGAGTTTGAGGGGGGGTGTTAGAATATATTTTATATATGGATAGCATATATTAGTATGTTAGAATATATTGTATATATGGTTATAATATATTTTGTCTATATCTTGTAGGATTAGATTTAGGCTCATTATGTTCCTATATATATGTGTACATGTCTTTTGAATAATACACAACATATTTTTCCCAAATTCTCACATGTGCAAATAATTTTTGGATAAAAAATGAGTGGACAATCATTCTCAATTGAATTGGAACTTTGTGGATACGTCTGGATGGGAGCAGTGGGCTACCCAACCCAAATGAACGTCAGGCTGCACCCGAATCATGAATTAACATAAAATTGGTGAATTTTATATTTTTAAAGTTTTCATAATTTGATTAGTATATTAAGTTTGATGTGCTATAAGTTGTGTACCTTTCTGAACATGGCAAACTCGACAAAAAAAAAA